TCACCGCCAAGGAGAGGGTCGGCGTGACATGTTGGGAACGCCCCGAGAGAGTGTTCTCCAGTCACAGGGCACGCGGGATGCATTTCTCGATGGCAGAGAGCTGATTTCACAAGCGGACATGTCATCTCCAGCGACCAGCGAGGTCTCGCCGAGGACAGATGCTGCACTTGATTGGTTTATTCACAGGAACAAACCTTTGCCAAATGGGCAACTTCAAAGCACAGGCACTAAGCCACTATGACTCGTATAAGACATGCTGTCCGAAGCTGCAAAGAGGGTCGGCGTGACATGTGCACTCCAGTCAGAGGGCACGTGGGATGCATTTCTCGATGGCAGAGAGTTGATTTCACAAGCGGACATGTCGTCTCCGGCGACCATCGAGATCTCGCCGAGGACAGGTGCGGCACTTGAGTGAAAGTGCCGAGGTACTCTCGACTCAAGGACTACGACACGAATGCCTCTGTCTGTGCCCGTGTCAGCAATCTTGGCCTGGGCAACTCTGCAAGGCAAGAGCTCCTAGTGCTCCAAGCCCTCAAGGATGCCTCCTCTTTTTGCCCGGGCCGACTTAGCTACAGCATTGCAATTGATAAAAGTTAAACATAGCAGAAAGCAGGCCTTGGCAGAAATGTTGGTGCTGTGACTGGCGACCATTGTCGCAGCACCTTCAAAGCCTTCGATCCTTCAATCCTCCCTTCACATGGCCGACTCGCTCGCCTCTTTGCCTTCGTGCTGTCTGGGCCTCTCCGTGTGCACGATCGCGGGCTTCAGGCCATTCAGGCCAGGCAAACATAGCGGTTTCCAACCTTGGATGGTGTGCCTGCTCCCAGCCGTTCATGCCAATGGCCTGGGCCTAGGAGTACGGCACCTCTCGAGGCGGTGAATTGCATCTGCGGAGAACGCGCGCGGCACAGGAAAGCAAGAAGCCCCTGAAGAGCTTCAGTGGCTCCGCGGCAAAGACCCCAGCCAAAGACAACACCGCGGAGCCAACGATCACGCAAACCCTGAGCGGACGCAGAGCTAGAAGGGTGGCAGCTTGACTTGGGCACCTATTTCGCAGCTTGCTTTGCAGATGTTTCTTTGCAACGAACTGGCGCTGGGGAACGAAACCGCCCACGCGGCTGGCAGCTGGCTGCGATGCGACGATCCGTCCGTCCTCTGCGGGCAACTTGAACTTGAAGCTGGGAGCTCCTAGAAGCTCCGTGAATGGGATAAAGAGTGTACGACGTGCCAAGTTGCAAAACTCAAGTGCACTGGCCTGCGTTGCAAGGGACATGCGAGGTGCGGTGAAGCCACGGATAATACGGATAATCTCCCTTGTTAGGATCCATGGCACTTCAAGCAGCGACTGCCGCGGCAGTTCGAAATCGAAAGGAAATGCGCCGGACAGCCGCGAGTTTCTTGTGTCGCACTCGGCTTATCACGGAGGCTTCACGGACAGGAGCCGTGAAGCAGCATTTGGCTTAGGAGCCTCGACGCTGGCACGGCTTGTGTGCCCACCGAACAGCCACCGGCTGACTCTCTGGTAACCTTCATTGGTCTCAAAAAGCTGCAAGCTGCTCTGACGAAGACAAGTCTATGACGTCGCCAGCGGCTGCCTTGGGTAGCGGCATTTCGTGCAAAATCATGCAAGTGTGCGGAGCCACCGCAGTGCGTGGCACCTTTCGCAGGCCGGAATCCAGCAAAGACATCAGGAGCTATCATCTATAAAGATCTCGACATGTACGACCGAATGCGAATATGAAGCATGTCGTGTTCTTGCGAGGCTGCCCGGGGCAGGATGTGTCAAACGCATGTTCAAGGCCTTCCTCACATTGCGCACCAGTAGGACGGCTTGCCGTTGCAATTTAAAGGAGACTGGGACAGCGACTGCCGCAGCAGTTCGGCATCGAAAGGAAAGGCATCGGACAGCCGCGAGTTTCTTGCGTAGCACTCGGCTTATCACGGAGGTTTCACGGACAGGAGCCGTGAAGCAGCATTTGGCTTAGGAGCCTCGACGCTGGCACGGCTTGTGTGCCCACCGAACAGCCACCGGCTGACTCTCTGGTAGCCTTCATTGGTTTCAGACAAATTGCGAGCTGCTCCGACGAAGGCGGATCTGTGACGTCGCCATCGGCTGCCTTGGACGGATGGCTGCACAGGGGCTGGAATGCAATGACAGGCCGGATTGGCGGCAGTGGATTCTCAGATGCTTCCCCGGACAAGCCCAACACGGAGAAGGCATTGCGAGCAGTGGCCGCGATGCTAGCAGAGCTTGCAGGGCATCGCGATGCAGTACCACCCGGAACATGCAGACCGTGAACGAGCAAGCCGCTAGAGGTCGAGTAGCAACTCTGTTGGTCATTCCATGCAAAACAAACCTCGGATTTCCTCATATTTGCTGGTTTCCCACAGACTATTTGTCCTTAGCTGGCCAAGTTGTTCCAAGGAAGAGAACTCAACACCATTTCGGCATCATTGGGGGATTTATCGTGTCTCTCGAATGCTTTCCAAGATGCGATTAGGCAATCGTGCGCTCATAGACTGTCTGGGCGGGAAAGGTCCGCCCCATATCGAGTCCAAACATCTACCGTCAGTTTGACATGGCGAAGTGGAGGTCATCTGGCATGGCAATCGCAAATCCGGACCTTATGAAGGTAGGGGGGGTGACCTGCAGCCACGGACCAATGACGAGGTGAGGCTAGCATATCAGCACAACTGATGCAATTTTGTGCAATCTCGGTTACTTCTGATGCTACAAACACTGAAAATTAAGGTACTGCTTTCAACTTGTTGGCGAAACAATGGAGATAACCATTTTAAGAGTCCTTGTTGCTTGCCAGCAAACAAACGTGACTGCATATCGCACAGCGGGGCAGTTGTTGCTACATGCGTTTCAGGTGCCACTCCTCCCATACTCTCCTTCGTGCCCTTCCCTGTTTTCTCATTCTTCCCTGTTTTCTCATTCAGCATCTGTGCCCATCGGGCCAAACACAATACCTCTTTAGACCCCTGCCGTTCCCCCTGCCGCTGCTGGCTGTTTCTGTTGTCTCCTCCTTTCTCCCGCTCCCTGCAGATCCAGATCCTATCATCTGATCCGCACGCCCGCAGCTCCTTCTCGCCGCGCCTTCACACCCACCACCATCCCCGGCACCGCCGAAATAGCAGGAGGCCGAAAGAATACGAACTATCGAGGCGCGCTGGCTAGACTCGCTCCCACCGCAGATAGCAAGAGGGCTGTGTTCATACCCTGTCAGCCAAAACTGGAGAAGAGGCTCATTAGATCAAAGCATGAATAACATGTCTGCAGCTAGCGTGGGTAATTTTCACATGTCCTAAACCCACGCTGTCTTTTGGCGATCCCGGTTGATCACATTCATTAATCGCGCCACCTTAGTTTGCCATCACATTTCCCAAAATCCCCCGCTCAATTGGCGATTTCTTAAACGCGGCCCGTCATCTGGCCATCGGTTGACACATCTTCATCTGCGGCCCTCGCGTCCCGCTTCCGGCAGCCATAACTGTCCTCTATCTGACCAGACGTAGGTGACTGCACATAGGACATACGGGTCCTTCTGGGTTTATGGCAAAGGGGCAGAAGGGATCCACAGCAAGGGCCGCAAGGGACTTACATTATCGACCGTTACCATGAACCCTATACACGGCTATTCGTGTAAACCCTACTCCAAGCTCCTTGGTACTTTATACTGGCTACCAACATTGTGTCTTGACAACCGCAGGCCCTCGATCTAACCTACGCTATGGGGCAAAAACCTAACGAACGTGATCCACCTGCTCCGCCACCAGTTTGAAACAAAACTCAGGTAGTTGGAGTCCCATTAGGGAAGAGTAGCAGACTTGTTGATTCGAGCCCAAAACATCCCAAAACGCGTATCGGTAACAAACG